GTGCAGTTTTAGCTGATTTTTTTTTTTGGACTCAGATTGGAGCAGAGCACAGCAAAGAAAGCTCTGACATGAATTTTGTTGGGCTGGGCCTGCTGAACAGAAATGAGACACGGAGCCTTCCCCAACACCCTCCAGACTGCTCACAAAGGGTCACCAGCACAGAAGCCTCAAATATGGCAGCATCAAGGCATCAGAGAAGACTTCAGCACGGTCAAACACTGGGAAAGGGGGTAAAGAACAAGTAGTGTGGTTGGTAGGCACAATTAGTGCATGGTGGAGAGCATGGCAGGTAAACACAGCAGGGAAATGCATGTAGGCCTGGCCATATAGAGTTTTCAATCTGCCTTTGCCCAAACAGCTGAACACCAACATGGAGCAGCTTAATCATGGACCAGAAAGACACGGGGCCCAGCAGGAGCCTGCTTTAAGGAGGGATGCTGGGGTCTGAATGCCTCATCTGGAAATGGATGGTATTGACTTCAACTCAGAGAAATCCAAGGGGACAACTTGCTTCTTTAAAAGCAAAAAAAAAAAAAAAAAAATTATAAAACTTAAATGACTGATCTTTTATTTAATCCAATCTGGCAGAGGGAGTTTTAAAAATAAATAAGCCCTCCCCTGCAGAATGCGAATCACAGAGCTGCTGACTACAGGATATGAATCTGGATATGGAGCCAAATTTGCAGAGAAACAGTAGAGGTAACGCAGTTCCACGTAAATCATAATCCTGGTGCCCCATATGCAATTTCTATGGAATAACTGCTCAAATAAATGTCTCAGAATCCATCGGCACGGGGCTGACATGGCGGAGGTTATCTGCGCATCTCCCACCTCCGCGGGTGCAGCTGGAAGAGCTCATCATCCCTGGGGAGGGGAACCGCAGCCCGCAGCCCTCACAGCACGGCTGCTGCAGCGTACGTGAGGGCTGTCAGGTGCCTGGAGGCAAGGCAGCCTCTGCTGGGGGCCTGCGTGCGGCTGCCCGCTCCTCCAGCCATGGGAAGCCTATGGAGTGGTTGGGGCCTGGCCGAGGGGATGGGGCTGCGTGCGGGGTGAGGAGGGAAGGCCCTGACATGGTTTCTGTCTGCAAGCAGAGCACAGCGCAGCACAGACACTGCAGGTTCCTGATGAGGCTCCAGAGAAAGCAAGATTTGCAGCATGACGGGGAGACAAGGCCGAGTGGCCATCATGGGCTCTGCTCCTCGTCCTCCATTCCTACACCTCTCCCTGCTGGGAGGGCGGTTTGTATTGGGGTATTTCTCAGCGCTGATCACACTTCTGCTGAGGAACATGGCTACAGGAGCTCATTTAGCAGGTGTCTCATCAAAGAAAAGCTGTTTAAAAAGATGCTACATCACTTTGAGAGCAGAAGAGCCTCACTAGCTGCATGTGGAGCAATGCGCGGCTGCTGGAGCTGAGCACAACAGCAAATGGAAATGAACGGGGGAAAAAAGGAAAAAGAGTGATGTTGTTTCAGCTTTCCTACTGCTGTTTGCACTGTGGAAGCACAGATCAAATTCAAACCTCAGCACAACTCTAAAACTGCACTTATTACCTAGTGAAAATAGAACAATATATTCCAGCCAGGAATGCCTAAGATATCAGAAAAAAAAGAAAAAAGAAAAAAGAAAAAAGAAAAAAAGAAATCTACAGACACAGAAAGACCACGAAATAGGACTGATGGCTGAAAACCCTGGGGCAGGGTTCTGTGTGTTACCAGCCCCAGGCTCATTTCTGCAATGGCAGTATCAACCCCACGTTATGCTGCCCGAAGTAAACCAGCACTTGTATATTTTTATAAATAGAGGCCCAGATAAAGAGGAAGAAAGGGGTGCAGTCCTCTTTCTGCTTTCTGCCAGGCATTACAGTCTGAGTGCTGCTTACCTTCCAGAACCAAACCCGGATCAGCGCGGTGCAAGGCAGTGCCGCCACGGGCACCACCGCACGCGTGTCTGTGAGCACTGTGGCTCATCATCTGTCTGCTCAGAACAATAACGGGTAGGTTAGCAGCCTTTTCACTTGTGATGTAAATATTGTATCTGGAACACAATATTTGAAATACAAAATACGGTGTTATTAAGACAGCGCTCACACATCAATTCTTGTGTGACTATAATTTGTGAAATGCCTTAGGAGGGGCTTATAAATAAAGTATAAGGTGTTATTATGAAATACATTTTAACCCAATGCACAGAAATGCCTCGTTCCTATTGAAATCAATAGCGAAGCTCCCACTGATTTTAGTGGTAAAAGACGGGGACCCTTGGAAATAGCTGAGCAACACACGGCAGTGTGTTTCAGGCTTAACAAGCTACATAGCTCTGGAAGAAGAAGAAGAGGGATGCGAATGGGCTTTAGATACCGCTCAGAGCATGCTAGAGCTTTCAGCTTGTTCCTTACGTTGCTGGACAAGGCAGCTGCAGCCGTACGCAGCTCCTTTCTGCACCACACTGGCAAGCCCCCACCCTGGGGAAAATCCCTAACCACAGAGCAGGCACGGCAGCCCCGTGCCCCCGGCACACAGCTCTCCGAGGCTCGCCGCGTCCCTGCTGCTCTCCGATGTGCGGCCAGCCGTGGCTTTCCCCTCCGACCTGCTTCCGCGGGGCACAACAGTGAGCCAGCGAGCCAGAAAGCTCTCCTCTCTGCCGCCCAAATAACCGCAAGGCCCTGCCTCCTTCAGGACAACGGGATGCACGGGACAGGGGCTCCCTGCCCACCCCCATCGCCGAGAGCAGTTGTCCAGCCACGGGCAGCTGGTGCTCTGGGAGCTGGTGCTGAGGAACGGGCTGCAGTGGTGGAGATAGGCACGGCAAGTGGGCGATGACCGCTGGGCTTGCACCTCCCGTCAGCTGTTTCCTGGGTCAAGTTGGCCATGCATGAGGGACCTGCCTGCTGCGGTGTTAGTGCAATCCAGCCAGAAACAGGAAATAACACACAATGCAAGGGCACGCGTCTGACCAACGTGGATATAAATAAAAATAAATTCCCTGTGTAATTAACATTCTCAAATTGATAGCTTCCAGGTAATTAAAACTATTTACAGTTGATCTAACGACTGACCAGCATCAATTAAAGAGAAATATTTTAACCTAATGGTCCTGCTCTCAGTGTTAAGAGCTATCATATCATGCTTTGAGAACACGGCCCTTCCGTGCGTGTGACCCCGTCTGCAGGCAGCCCTAGACTTGGCTCTCTGGCTTCACGGCGAGGCGTTATCTGCCGCTACAAATGTGCTGGAGCGAGCAGAAAGGAAAACATAACTGGCCCTGATAGCATCTCTGCCTCACAAAGGCTGTTTGTGAGGGCTGGGCTCTGACTCGGCGCTCCCCACATCCCGGCCTTTCAGGCGCGAGAGCCGTGTTTCAGCACAGCATGGCCAGAGCCGGCAGCACCACAATGAGCCAGGCTCGGGGTCCGGGAATGTTTGGCTTTCCTGCCAGTGACTAAAGGCCTCCAGCTTTCACTAGCCAGTCCCAGCTCGCATTGTTGCTGCCTGTTGATTTGTCTTCTCTCATTATTCCTTGACATGCAGCTCTCCACCCACGCCCACACTAACAACCCTCACACAAAGCGCATTGAGGTATTAACCAGGTTACAAGTTCAATGGAAAATTACACTAAGATTGTGCTGTGTGGCGGTATAAAAGGACGGTATTCACTCTCCCAAAGAGCTTGTTAAAAACACAGCTTGTTTTCTCTTCTCAAACATCCTAACAAAAACCGTTTTTAGAAGCTGGGAACATACATTTGTGCACATATGCATTTCTGCGTATGCCACGTATAAACACAGCAGCACGGCTCGAGCTGCCGGCTGGGAGCCCTGCTTGGCTCTGCCGTTCCTTGAGAGCAGCCCAGAAACACGGGCTAAATCCGCAGCCTCCTGCTCCCTGACTGCAGTTAGGAGACGAGAGCCCATCCTCTTTCCATCAGCCCCAATTACGGGCTGCTGGAGGTGCCAGCGGCTCATGAGAACCCTCCTGACTGCAAGCGGAAAATAAGCTCGACATTAAACTGAGCGAGGTTAACCTAGCACAGTAACAAAATTTGCAACACCACACTATAAGGTTAAAAAGAAAATAGTATAATAAAGGAAATACAAAGGCTTTGGCATGGTTTTTACAATCAACAATGGTTAATTCTGATATGTAGTTGTGAACAACTTCAAAACACTTAAGTTTAAAACTCTTGCAAGCACTTTTAATTGATTAGGAATGAAGTCTAGATGCACAAAAATGATTGGACTGTGAACAGTAGTACAACTATATCTAAGAACAATTAACTTCTGCCGACCAAAAAGAAACGTATGATGCATGAAAATGTGTATAAAACATCTATAGAATATTCTTGTCAAATATAAATGAAATTAACTTTATTATAGAAATCATTCTGGGAGATTTCTAGGGAAGACAAATACTTACATTTTGACATAAAACAAATTGGATTATATCGAAGACACAATCTACCTTTTATCTATCAAACTCTTTTCTCCGTCGAAGTTCTCTCTTAACCCTTGTTTGCACATAGCTTCATCTGTTAACAACCTTTGGAAATACCAACAGATATTTTTCTTACATAAATCTAGTGCGTATTGTTCCAGGTTTAATTATATGCAATGGAATGATACAAACTTGGAACGTCAATCCATAATCTATGAACAGATTGGTAGAAGTATTCGATATATCTTGATAAAACTCTTAAATTCGTGGCAAAGCTTGTTGATCATGGCTTCTTTTTTTTTTTTTTCTTTTCTTTTTTTTTTTTTTTCTTAAAACAACTTCATGACCAACACAGATCAAACATCCATCCAGTCTACATTGTTCTTTTTTTTTTTTCATTATAACATACAAATGCCCATTTACAAATAATACACCAAAATGAATAAAAGTTTGGATACCAAAATGAAGATTTGTTCCAACCGATATAATGCCTTCAGTGTACAAAGGTCCATGTTAGAGTCTTTTCCATGTGTTACAGCGTAGGGCACAGTTGCAGTACAGAAGTACTCTGAGAGCCATTCTTCCTTTAGAAAATACTGCTGAACATCCAACTGTTGTCCATATAGTCATTTACAGAATTAACACATGTTTTACTGTAATCTTGGCCAGTACTGAGACATATCAGGTTCACTGCCAGGAACTTGAACTGGAACTGACACTCCAGGGGAAATGAGACCTGGAAATTGAGTGGGAAAATGGATATTTTAGCTTTTCTATACATAGCACTATTTCTGCTCACCCATTTCGGGTTCGTATGAAGTCTTGTATCCACCAGCCTGCAGGATTGGGCTGGGGGAAAATATGCTTTCAAAGCCTACGCGCATCTAGCTGAGCTGTTATGACTAAACTGTTGTGTTTGAGGTAAGTGGCAGAGCCCCAGCTCGGTGCTCTCCATTGGGAACTCAGCCCGAAATACACCGAGCATTCCTACTTTTTAAATGTTCCTCTGTTTCTCCCGGTGATGCTGGCAACCTTTTACCCTGTTGTGCCTCATTAGCAGAGGTCAGTGATTCCAGAGTTACCTGCCTATTAGATAACAGAGCCCTGGCAAGCACATCCTTTGGTGCAGTCATGGCAGTGACGTGCTCAGCCCCGCACAAGCTTCACTTTGCAGTGAGCGTGGCTGTGCCAATGCCTCGCACACAGTGAATGCTGCTGTGCTCAGCCACACTGAGGTCTGTGCAAGTCTAGAGCCCCCCCAGAAGCCTCCCCCCACCCAGCTACGGGTATGGCCTCGTTCGCCCAGCACCTCCCACCCCCTTCTTAGCAGGGCCCGCTTGCTCACCTGTGGAAGTGGTGCCAGAGGTGCCCATGGGCTGGCTATTCATGTGTGTCTGCATGTGCGGAGGGGTGTAGGTGTCATAGCTCCGGCCGTTCACCGACGGGCTGGTGGGCAGCATGCAAGAGTAGGAGGAGGTCTGGCTGGGTACCGGGGGCTGGAAGTATAGAGTAGAGTTAGGTGTGGGGACAGCCCTGGGGCTCGGAGTCTCGGCATGCCCTCATGCATCCCCTCCACCCAAAGGTACCGTTGGCACAACATGGCCACGGAGACCTGCTCACACCACATCCTCACCCAGAGGTGGCCGTCAGGAGGCCATGGGAGCTGGGGAGGCCCAGCGGGGCCACGGCCCTGCCCAGAGCCCTCTTTGATCCTTTGTCAGCCGTGCTGCCCGCCTCCAATATCGTGAAATAAGGGCTTAACCGACGCAATTCCTTTCCCTGAACTTGAGAGACTCTAACTTTATTTGGTTAATTTTGGTTCAGCAATTAGTAACATGGTAATTGCTGCGGCGAAGGAGTCAGGCTCTCTAATCGGCTCGCCCGTCTCCAGCAGTGGTCAATGCTGCGTGCCTCAGACAAAGCTGCACAGCTCCCGTAATTGGCCAGCACCTTCCTAGGCCAACCCCACCATTAAAAAAGGAGGAATTTTGCATCTGAAAGGTCTATAGAAACGGACCCCAAAGGAATAGATTTCTTCCTCACCCAGCTGGTGATCAGCTAATGCTTTCAGGCATGAGGATTGACAGCTCTTGCAATTCTGGCTTAGCTGGCAGAACCACTGATGCTAATCGCACCCTCCCCTCGCTCAGGTGTCCCTCACGCGCGTCCCTCCCGCAGCGGAGCGCTCCGACAGCACTCCGACAGCACGCGGCCCCGCTGCCATGCCTTAACCTCAGGGCGGGCGTTCTTGTCTGAAATGGGGTTCCTCACACCAGGCCTGCTGCCTCGCGGTTGTAAGGTTGGAAGAGACCGTTAAGGCCATCTAGTCCAACCCTCAAGGCAACCAACCATCAACCGTTTTGAGGACCCTTCTCTCCTGAAATCCCAGAAAAGCACTCATCCGAGCGCGATGCCCTCTCCGTGGTGCTGTGCTTACTTGCATAGGCAGGTTGTTGGCCATGGTGAAGCTGGGCATGGGTGGCAATGCGCTGTACGTGTTCGTGAGCGCCGTGTCCGTCCTGCCCAACATGGAACCTGATGTGAAAGAGGAAACTATAATAGAATAGACAGATAGATGGAGACATTAGTTTAACCACGATCGCGCTCGGCGGCACAGTCCCACGGTCTCGGTGTCCCGAGGATGGCTTCACGCGGGCGGGTTGGCTGCATTACCGGGGGTGGTCGGCTGTGGGATCGGCTGGTAAACGCTTGTGCTGAAACTACTGCTGATGGGGATGTGGCTGGGAGTGTTGCTGGCTTGTCTCCGCTGGTTCCGCAGCTTCTCCTCCCTTCTCCACTTGGCCCTTCTGTTAGAAAACCACACCTGGAAGCACAGCGTTTGAGGCGTGAGTGGCCTGGTGGAGCGAGGGTGGCTCCCCGGGTCACCCAGGGCCAGCACAGAGCTGCCCCACAGCACAGCAAAGCCAACCCCATCTGCTGCTACTTCCTGATGGAGGAGATGGGCGAACACCCGGCGTTACACCCGGCTTCAAGAAGCCGCTCATAACAAATTACAGTGGTTAAAGGAAGAATGATAACGGCAGTAAGTTACGTGGCAGCTCCATACCTGTATCCTTGCTTCAGGCAAGTCTATTTTAGCAGCTAGTCGCTCTCTCGCAAACACATCGGGATAGTGGGTTCTCTCAAACTCTGCAAGGAGAAGTATTGCCATGTGAATCGTAGAGAACAAATGTGGCTGATGGTCAGGTCCCAGCCCTGTGTCACGGCCACACCCTCAGTGCCTGCAAGAGTCAGTACTGCGAGACAGCACAGAGCTTTCTGCATAAATGTGTGCTGGGAAGGACCCCAGGCTGTCGGGCATGGTGGGGCTGGTGCTGGGGCTCGGCATGATCTTCTTACCCCTGTGAAGAGCTCCCATGGCACCCTGACCCCATGACCAAGAAGCTGAGTGGCACGTGGCCGAATGACGACAGGAAATCTGGGCAGAGAGCCGGCCATGGCTGGGGAAAAGGGCACCGGCTGCCAGCCCTGGGCAGCAGCAGCACTGGAGATGGGGAGCAAGCATGGTGCTGGCACCCAGCACCCAGTCCTGCCTGTACCCAGCACCCTGTCCTGCCAGCATCCAGCACCCTGACATGCTGGTATATCCAGTACCCTGCCCCACCACCACCCAGCAGGAGGAGGTCAGCCCAGGGTGCAGCACTGCACTGAGCCCTGCGCTGCCCTTTCTGTTCTCCGCAGCCATCAATGGGGGTCAGAATGAAATGGCATGGAAGGAGCCAGGGGCCTCAGAGCTGTCTGTATCTCTATAAGGCATGTGAATGCCAGGAATCTGCTCTGCTCCTAACGCAGCCAGGGTGTTTCTTGCCTTTCTCTCCTACCGCAGCGGCAGCAAAATGTCGCTCACCTTTCTCAAGGGCTTCGATTTGCTCTTGGGTAAAGGATGTCCTATTTCTCTGCAGCTTCCTTTTCAGCTGAAGTCTCATCTGGGCCTCGTCGGAGTCTTCCCCATTGGAGCTGATGGAGTTGGTGTTCTCCCCTCCTCCCTCCTGCTGCGGGCAGCCGTCTGCGGGAAGGAGAGAGCAGAGGTGAGACGGCGGCGACTCGGCACCTCGAGAGCGCGACCGGGAGGAGCTCTAGCAGAGCAGGGGCTGAGCAGCTGACCCCCTTCCTAAAACAATCTTGGGTACCGCAGTGGTGTGGCCCTGATGACACCACTAACACAGGGATGCTGCATCTCCCTGCGCTACCGTAAGCGTTCCGAACAGAGAATTACAACCGCCCTTTCTATATTTCACATTATTTTTCCTCCGGGATAAAACCTGCCTAAAAGCCCTCTCCACTGGTAGGGGCTCGTTATCCGGTCGCTGCCGAAGCACCGGGGCAGCCCTCTCCTCTGCCCGCCTGATGTATTTACCTATTGCTGTATTTAAAAGAGCGATGTTCGGTATTTCGGATTATCTATAATCAGTAATTCCCATCTAATCAATTAGATGTTGATAGGTTTGCAGAAAATGCTATTAAGGAACCAAACCAAGCTTGTAATCTTTTTTAAAAAATATTTATCCCGTTTTTATTTGAATTCTGCACAGTCAATTTCATTTTAAAGGTTGTGAATTTAGAAGTGCCTGCATTGTTCTGCAGTTTTATTCAACTATTGTATGAGTGTGCATCGCCTTGACACCTATTACTGAGCACAGCTGTAATTATATCATCACCAAGAACAGGCTATAATTGCCGAAAATGGAATTTTATATTTAGATAAAAGGACCGTCCATTCTTTGTAAACGCGGCGCACCAGAGAAAAGTAAGATTTCTTTCAAAATTTTAACATGTAATTTTCAAAGGAACGGCAGCGAGGAGCTCGCGGCCGAGCGGAGCGCAGCTGAGCGCCTGGCACGGCTCTCCCCGGGCGCTCCCGGCGCGGGGCGGCCCCGCACGGCTGCGGGCAGCGCGGCCACGGACCCGGTCCCGGTGCCGGCCCCGCTCCGAGCGGCGCTCCGCGGCGTCGAAGGGGAAGCGGAGAAGGGGCGCGGGGGCCGCCGAACGCTCGTCATTCCAGCCGCAAAGTTACGGCACGAACGCGTCGCGACGCTCCCGCGACACCCTTGAAATATTGTGGGAAATCGACTTTCAAGTAATATCATTTCTAATCGGCTCACAATGGCCCCGGCCTTCAAAGCGCGGGGGGAATTGTGACGGGATCTGGTGGGACCCTTTCAACCACTTTGAAATGTTTTAAAACCCGCACTTTCTCCCCCATTTAAACACGGGGATTCAACCGCAGCGGCCACCATATGGGCGGCCGCAGCCCCATTGAGGCGGCCGCCGGCGGGTGAATAGCCGGGGGCTGCCTTTCAGGGCACACAAAGCCGCCCCGCCCGGGCCGCGCCGTCGCGGCGGGGCCGCCGCCCTGCCAAGCGCTGGTGGCAGCGCCGGGGGCCGCCCGCCCGGCCCGGGGGCGGCAGCCTCACCTCCGCCACCGCCCTCATCCATCACTGTCCGCCCCGCGCCCCGCGCCCCGCTACCCGAGCGCTGCCGCCCCCGGGCCGGGCCGGGATGCCGCTGCGTCCCACCGCGGCTCTCGGGCCGCCCGCACACCCGCGCGGACAATTAAGACGTCTCCTCTCTCCGGGAGCCCCTCCGCTGCCTTTTTTTTTTTTTTTTTTTAAGAAGGCCCTAAAAGGAGCGATCTCAATAATAGGGCTGTTCCACCTTCCAGACCTAATCCGTAAGAAAGGGAGTGAATGTCCGTCCCTATTATCCTATGGCCAGACCATCTGACGCTGGGCATAGGATTTGTTTCCTGGAAAAAAAAAAAAAAAAAAAAAAAAAAAAAAAGACGCTGGGAAATAAAATCATTCCTCGGTTTCTCAGTGCCGTACTCAGCGAGGCGGAAAACGAGCAAAAAAAGATAGCGAACCAATTGCGGCACCGCTCAGCCACAGAGCCGGGATCAAAACATTGTAGCATCTGTTGAAAGAGAAAGTGTCTAAATCCTATAGAAGGCTTTAGACTTAGAAGAGAGGGAGGGAAAAAAAAGATAAGAAACAGTGTCGCGGTGATCCCTAAACCCGCTAAATCGCTGGAGAGTTTCTCCCGGATAGAGATGTCTCTTTTTTGTTCTGTCAGCCCCCGCGTATCCATTATTTTATTCACCGCCGCATGGCGTTTATCAGATTGAGACCATATTTGTGCCCCTCTGAGACCTAACCTCGCCTTATGCTTTTTGAGTAATGGACTCTTAAAATCCAGTAACATTCCCCTGCAAGGGAAAAACGCTAGCGGCGCCATGAATATTCCAGCGCACAGCCGTCCCGCTCGCTTCGGCTCCGCTCGTCCCCCATTCCCCGCTCCTTTCGGGGCTCCCCAGACCCGCACCGGGGGTCCCCTTGGGCGCCCAGGACAGCTCTGCAAGGCCCCTCCCGCAGGGCTCGGGGTTCCGCACCGCTCTGCTGGGCGCGGCGGGGCCGGGGCTGCCCGCAGGTAGCGGTGCGGAGGGCGCCGGCTGGGCTGCGAGGGGGCATCGGGGCGCAGAGGGGAAAGTGGGCTAAAAAAGCGGGGGACGGGGGGAGCGAGGGCCGCTCTCTATCTTTCTGGTGTCCTTCATAGATTGTTTTCTTCTCTTAAAACTGACATGTCTAATTGGCAAGCGGTGCCATATCGTGTCCAGAGGTCTCCTGTGGAACATTTCTACAGCTGTCTCCTTCAACTAGACGCTTATTCATGTCGCCTTAATGAGAAACAAAACGATCTCTAATGAGCAATTACATAGCGACAGAATTGTTCCCATAACAAATTCTTGCGTGCGACAGAAACATCCTTTGTACCAGATATTCTGCACACTGTTACCGATTTTTTTTTCCTCGCGGGGCAAAAACAAAAAGCAGGTTGTTGTGTGCGGGCACCTCCTCGAGGGGAGCGGCCGCGGCCGGAGAGCCGCGCTCAGACACGGCCATTAACCATCCCGAGTGGGCAACGCGGCATCCCATTATCCTTCATATTATCCCCTTGTCATTCCTACGACCGATACCTATTAATCTTCAGGATAAACACTTTCCTATATTTACGAAGTTGTTCCCATCGAGGAGGGACCGCTGCCTGCCCTTTACAGGGAGCTGATCCCGGAGCGGGGACACCCGCGTCTGGGCACCACCTCCGGGGGCCACATCTGGGCACCACATCTGGGCACATCTGGGCGCAGCTGCCCGACCCGCGCGGCACTCACCTTGTGCGGGCTGCCCGGGTACCGAGGTGCCGGGATACCAGCCGGGCCGGGTGCCCCATGTCCCCGTCTGCCCGTTCAGCATCCTTAGCTTGTCGTACATCCCGTCGGCACCCATCTGTTGCTTTTCGCTAGCCAGGTTGCGGAGGACTCTGTTTATCGACGACACCTGCAAGGCAAAGGACAGAAGGCAATGGTAGGGCGGTAGCGCTGCCCCCGAGCCGCCCGCAGCCCCGCGCCCACCGACGCCCGACCCCGGCCCCGAGCCCGGCGCTGCACCACCGGAGCGATGCTGCGGCTGATGCTCGCGGTGCGGGCGCTGGGGATGGCCGCGTTGTTTGTCGCTTTCCCCCCCCCCCCCCCCCCCCCCGCTTAAAGGCATTTGTCAAAATCTGTATGAAAAAAATGCGCCTGACCCTGCCACATGCAAATGATGCGAACCTGCTCTCCGCTCACTGATAGCACAACAAAGGAGGCAGAGGCTACAGCTACCCAGCACCACACAGCACACAGCGCGGTTTCTCTCGTGGACTTACACTGGGTATGTTATCGTTGGTACAGACCCCCTCCGAGAGTAATCTGTCTCGAATCTCCCACGCAAAGATGGAGGGGCACTCTCGTTTATACTGCGCTATTTTGCTTACAACTTCGGGAGTCGCTACTCTCGGCTTACTACCTCCGATCGCCCTGGGCCTGATGGAGCCAGTTTCGTAATACCTGCCCAAAATTTTACTCACACATCCATTCGACACCTGGATAGGGAAGCGGACAGAAAACCACATTATTAATAATCTCAAGACAAAAATCAAATTGTTTAAGTACGCATTAAACAATGACAAGCTTACGTTTTGATTGTCCAGCACTTGGACTTTTGCATCTGCATGGGTCTATAACACAAAAATATACCTTAAATGGTATGAGAACTTACTGAGAGAGGCTTTTTTTTTTTTCTTAAAAAAAAAAAAAAAAATTACATTCGTGGCCCTACCCTCCGCAAAAGTGCTACTTTAAAAACGTTTGGAAGGAAAATATATAGATAGATATATATATATATTAAAAATCGGTTCCGTAAGGAAACCTTTCGGCTCCACAGCTGAGGTCTGCCCCAATGCCGGAGCTCAGCACTGCGGTATCACCGCATGGACGGGGCCGGGCGCTGCGCCCCGGGGCCGCTCAAGCAGAGTGCGGCCACGGCTCCCGGGAGGGGTGCGATGGAGCGCTTTGCATCTGTAGTATTATATTGGGGTTTGTCGGTTTGGGGTTTGTTGTTTTTTTTTTTCCTCCGAAAAAAAAGAAAAAAAAGAAAAAAAAAAGGAAAAGGAAAAATAAGAGTAAGCCACTAAGCCACGCCAAATGCATACGGATCTTACAAAATCATAGTAAGTAAATTCAGGGGGAAGGGGGAGGAGGGAAGCTGCAATGACGCCGAGCGGTGCGTTCGTTTTGTTACAGCGAGCTCGCAGTAACAGGAGTGCAGGTTACCACCGGGTGGGAAAAAGAAGGATGGGGGGGATGGGGAGGGGGGGAAGTAAAAAGAAAAAAAAAAAAAAAAGAAAAAAAAAAAAAGAGAGATTTTCCAAAGGTATATATAAATATCTATACGCTGCGAGAGGTCCGGCCGCACACAGCAACGATCAGCAGATTTGTGAGGCTGGAACGTGGGTGGGAGCGGGGTCGGCCCCGGGCGCCCGTGGGGCAGCGGGCAGCGGGCAGAGGGCCGGGAGGAGCGGGCGCGCCGCCGCCTTCACCTGCAGGATTCGGGAGATGTCGCACGGCCGCGCGCCGCTGTGCGCGAGTTCCACGATCTTCTGCCGCGTGGAGTCGGGCAGCGGCCTCCCGTTGACGAACACCCCGCCGAGCTGGTTCACGCCGCTGTGACCTGCGGGAAGCACAGCGCCCTGGTACCGCCGGCCCGCACCGCCCGCCCCGCGCACCGCCCGTCTCCAAGCCCGCAACCCCCAGAGCAGCCCAACGCCGGGGCTGCGCTGCGCACCGCTGGGGTCGGCTCCTCGGATCGCCTTCTCTCTCCCTCTCTCTCTCTCTTTTTTTTTTTTCTTTCTTTGCCGTCCCCGAAAACGTAAAAAAATGAAATAAAATCCTCCCCGCGTCCCCGCGTCCTCCCCGCATCCCTGCAGCATCCCCGCCGCATCCCCGCGCGGCGCGGCTCGGCCCGCCGGAGCTGCTCGGAGGCGGCCGACCTGGGGCTGCGGCGGGGGGAAGGATCCCTGGAGAAGCGCCGCTCCGCGCTCGCTGCGCTCTCCTCTCGTCGGAGCCTCCTGATAAATGGGCTGCGAGAGCCCCGGCTCCTTAGCAATAAATAAGCTCCAAATATAGAAGAGGGGGAAAATATGATGAGCCTCTGTGACATTTGTCTTTAAAATAAAACTAGCTGCACGTCAAGTTTGAGCTTAATTTCTGGAAATAGGCGGAAGTCGCCCCGGATCATGCATGGAAGGCTAATTGAAAAGATCAGTTGGAGCACTTGTGGCAGGCGTGTCACTTTATGACAGTCCTCTGCTTTTGAAAATTGCATCGTCACGACAAATAGTAGCATGATAAAACGACCCTTTCCGTCCGCATTTGGATATCACTCAGACGAGATTGAACTCCGCTCGCTTTCCCTCCGAGGGCGGCCGCGCTCGGAGGCAGCCGGGGGCTGTGCAGGACACGGCCGAGGGGCCGCGCTCCCCGCGCAATGGATGCGAAGTGACACCCGGGCGGGAGGCACCGCGCCGCCGCCCCCCGACCCGACCCGACGCCGGCGCGCAGCGGCCGCGGGGAGCGGCGCCTCCTCCTCCTCCTCCGCGCGCGCCCCGTCGGGCGGGGGGGGTCGGGGACGCGGTTTGAGGGTGCGCTCCGCGGCGCTTCGCGGAAGAGGTTAAGCCTTAATCACGCGGTAATTTCCCTGGAGAGCCGCGCGGCTCTCGCCCAGTGGCGATGATTATGCGCCTCGTGTTGTACGGCCAGCCGTCTAATGGGAAAGCATATGGTGTCAATTTGGACGCCCGGCACCATATACACCCAGGAGTTATTAACACAAAGCCTGGAGAGCCCGCCGCGACCTTTAAACAAAATAAAGGCTTCACCCGAATGATATCTGTTCCGCCGTCCCGATCGGAGACGCCGCCGGCCCCGGGCGCGGAGGGGACGCCCGACCTCGCGCCGCCGCCGCCGCGATTTTCCGAGGTCGCGCACCCCGCCGCGCCGCCGCCCGTCCGCCCCTCGCCCGTGCGCGGGCGCGCAAAAGCCGCGCAGGGCCGCGCGGCACTTACTGTTCTGCATGGTGGGCCGGGGCAGCGGGGTCCCGCGGGGCTCGCCTGGAGCGGTCTGCGGCAACGAAACGCGCGTTAGTCGGGGGCAGCGCGCACCGCGCGGGATATCCCCGGCCGGGGCGAGGGCTGGGGGGCAGAGGGCCTCGGGGAGAGACGCGCGTCGCGGGGAGGCGTCGGGGAGCGGCCACTTGCCTGGAAGCCGGGCGCGCTGTCCTCTCCTGCAGCGTGGGGGCTCGCACATCTGCGTGCCTCTACTCCCGGCGGCCCTCTAGGACAAAGCAGACGGAGCGCGTTAGCGGAGCGCGGCACCGCTCCCGGTTCGCCTCCTTCCCTCCGTCCCTTCCCCTCTCCCCGCAACTTTTTCTCCGCGCCTCGCGGTTAACTTCTTTTTTCCTCTTTAGATCTTCCCCCTTCGCACTGTACTGTGACACACGCTGTCTACCTCGCCTCACTGCCTTAAAAAGTACGAACAGGAGGGGGTGAGAGCCGCCGAACAAAGCCTACAGAAAGCGAACAATGGCCTCCATTCTGCTCCGCTACCCCAACCCCGGGCGCAGGAGCTCCTTCCCGGCCGCGCAGCCCCGGCGCAGCGCGCACAAAGCGCGGCCGAATGCGCCCCGCGGCCCCGCACGGCCCGGTCCGAGATCCTCTCCTCTTCCTTTCTTTCTCTCTTTTTCTTTCTTTCTTCCTTTCTTTCTTTCTTTCTTTCTTTCTTTCTTTCTTTTTTTTTTTTTTTTTTTTTTTCCCTCCCTCTCCCTGTTTCTTTCGGTTTTATTTTATTTTATTTTGCCTGTGGTTTTGTTGTTGTTGTTTTTTCCTCCCCCTCCTTCCCCTCTGCCTTTATCTGCACCCCCAACACTTCTTTATTTATTTATTTACGCGTCCCCCCTCCCGTCCTTTCCCCCGCGTATTTATTTATCCGAACGCGGCGCGGGGGAGAATGGAGCAGTGATTTCTTCTCGTTATAAATATCGGCGGTAATTGTGTTACTGGTGCGCGTTGTTCGGGGCTGTAAAAAGATACAACAGCGCAGTGGGGCGCTCAATTGGGGAGGGACAATTACAATAAAGAGCCCATTCACGGGGGTAGCTAAAAAAAAAAAAAAAAAGAAAAGAAAAAAGAAAAAAAAAAAAGAAAAGAAAAAAAAGAAGAAAAAAAGGAGCTAAAATAATGAAATAGTCGCAGCCTTCGTTTTCTCTCCGTTTTTTGTTTGTTTGTTTGTTTTGTTTTGCTTTTTTTTTTTTTTTTTCCAAGCCAGTACATTGCTTTTCTTTCGCACCTATAATAAATATCAATTTTTGCTCTTCCCGCGTACGACGGGATTCGCTCAGGACGATCCACGCTGCGATTTATGGAGCGGCTTTTAGGAACCTGAAATCCACAAGAAGCGGCCCCGAACGAGCGCTCCTCACAGCGTGCGGACGTTCCCCGGTAAATATTCACCGCGCCGCCAGCATCCGCACCCGGCGCTGGGGAAGAAGGGCAGAAAACAGCCGCCCGGCTCCGGAGGTGCACCCACAGCGGCCGCAGCCCGAGCGCGAACGGGGCACTGCGCACAGCTCGGCCCCGCGGCAGCGCCCGGACGTGGGAGCCCCGCGGCGGTGCGGGGCGGTGCGGGGCGGAGCGGTGCGGGCCCCAACCCCGCAGGCCGGGCCCCGTTCGCCGCTCGGGCTTCAGGCCCGGATCCGGTGACGTTCCGGAATATTTCCCCCCCCCCCCCCCCCTCTCCCTCTTCAGAAACGCAACGAGGGGTGAGGTTGACAAACTTTCCCTTTCTCGGGGCGAAGGAGTAAAAGCTCAAAACGAATCGCCGTGCGATGGGGCGCCGGGAAAGGTCAGCGGCTGTAAACATTTATGGGCGAAGGCCCTTTGATTATTTTATGTCCCCGGGACGGGGCCGCAGCCGCTCTCTGGCCCCGTGCAGCACCTGCCCGTGCGGCGGCCCACGAAACTTCGTCCCAACTTTCCCGAAGTGACCGCGGTGTGACACCTCCGGGCGGCCGAGAGCCAAACACACGTTTTCCGATGGCATTTTGCGAGGGGAAAAGAACCCGAAGGGAAAAGAACCAACTTTGCTGCTTGCGCGGAGAAGTTTGCAACTTCTTTACGAAATCATGATAAAAAGAAAGGGGAGAAAAAAAAAGAAGAAGAAAAAGGGGCAAAAAAAAAAAAAAAAAAAAAAAAAGAGAGAGAGAGAGAAAAGAAAAAGGGTTTGGAGCAGAGGGGACTCCCAGGCCCGATATCGAGGAGGGTCACGAGCAGAACCGAAGCAGGTCCCGTACGACACAGCAGCGGCCGGAGCTGCGCGGAGCTGGGCCCGGGGAGGCTCGGGGGGAGCCCGGGGTGGCGAGAAGAGTTAGCGGCCCTTCGGCCACGCTCAGCCCTGCTCGGGCCCGGCCGCCTCGGCCTACGCGGTGCCTCTCCCCATCCTCTTTCTCCCCCGAACCCCGAGCCCCGTCCTCACGAGGCCGAGTCCCTGCCTTAGCGGCGTCCCGGCTCCGGCCGAGCCCCGCGGCACAAAGCGGCCCCCCGGGCACCGCCGCTCCCCGCCCGCCCTCTGCCTCTCGCCCGGAGCCGCACAGGGCCCGCACGGCCCAGCACGGCCCGGCACGGCCCGGCGGTGCCACGGAACGCGGTGCCGTTGGCCGCAGTATCCCAGTGCGGCTCGTCCAGAGGGCACCGCGCAAGAGCAGAAAGTTTGCGAGCTGCGGGCCGGAAAGTTCCCCGGGAGCTCCGCGGAATGCAAATGGGATGGAGAGGGGGAGCGGGGGGAGCGGAGCCCCGCGCCGGGCTGCGGAGCGGTGCGAGGAGCGGCGCGGACTCACCTCGCAGAGGCATATCCCGTCCGCGGCACCGCTGCTGTCAGCAGGACGGGGCGCACCGCCGGGCACTGACGCGCTCCCAAAGAGTTGCCCGCAAAACAGTTTGTCTCCACTGAGGCTGCGGCGGCGGTGCGATGCCGAGGTCCTGGGAAGGAGACAGAGATTGACACCGCGGTGGCTGTCAGCGCGGAGCGGGCGCGGTGTGCGGCGGAGCGGGGCCGGAGCACACCTCTCTGATTGGCGGCCCCGCGCTAATGGATGCGGCCGCTCCTGCCTCGCCTCCACCGCTCTTCACTGGCCCATTAGCACAGCCTGACCTCTGTCATCATCTTCCAGCAAAACACTTCCTCCCTGCGCCTTAACCAGAGCGGGAAATGAGGCCGGGCCGGGGCTCGCTTTTCAAACCCACTAATCACTCCGCACATGCAAATGCTCCGTTCGCTCCCACACAAAATATTGCTTTATGCAAAGCGACGCCATCGCCTCCCCGCCGCCGATTGGCCGCCCCGCGCCCGGCACGGCTCAATTGGCGCAGCCGTTTGCATATGAATGCGATGGGCCCGGCTCCCGGCCCCGGCTCCGCACCCGCGGCCCGGCCCCGCCGCCCCCCGCGATGCGATGCGATGCGCAGAGCGGAGCGGTGCTGCGCGGCGCGGCGGAGGGAGCAGCGCGTTCCCAGGTGGGGCCGGGCCGGGGGCGGCGGGGGGCAGAGACCGGCGGGGGGAGAGGGGGCACAGCGCGGGGGGGGCGGGCGTTGCGCGGAACGGGGCTCCGAGCCCCCCCGGCCCGGCCACACTCAGAGCGTGGAGGGCTCTCGATAGGGCCTGGAGGGCCCTTCGCGCACCTCCCCACGTGCCGAAGGGCTGCGGGGAACCCCGCCCCGGCCGCGCCCCGCAGGTGTAGAGCCCCGCTGGTGCGGGGACGGAGGGTGCGGGCGCGGGGAGTCCCCGATGCGGGGCGGAACGGCGGTGGGAAGGAGGAGAGGGGCTGGGGATTCCGGGAGGCACCGGGCGGAGGGAGGGAGGGACGGACGCGCGGAGCATGAAATGAAGTCGTAGCCGCATACACTTGACTTCTCTTGACATGTGAAAAGTGCTAAAAGTCAAAGCTCATCAATAAAGTATCTTGAAACTGAATAAGAGCGCTGACAACCATTGCATTCTTAAATAAAGTACAATGAGGAGACAAACGACTCTGCCAAGGAGTTTGCATGTGAGTGAAAGGGCGCTCAATGGGAGCGGGATAATGGGCCGCGGCCGCAGGCACTGCCCGCCCCGCGCCGCCGGAGCTGCCTGGGAGCGGGAGGGGGCAGAGGGGGGGACCAGACCGCAGAGCCCCGCATCGCTCTGCGGAGCGAGAGAAGAGCGGAACCACCGCAAAGCGACCCCGGGTGCCGCCCCCCACCCGGGGGGACACTCAGCCCCGGGGGGAGTTTGGGAGCGGAGATGGGCTCTGCCCCGGGGTGAAGTCAGCCGTGTCCGCGGGCCTCGCTTTTGTCACTTTGCTTTCTTTCTCTTTTTCCTTTTTTCTTTCTTTTTTTTTTTCTTTCTTTTTTTTCTTTTTTCTTTTTCTTTTTTTTTTTTTTCCCGGATAGTTTCTTCCTGCTGCACTCTCCACCAACCGAGCAAGTTTGGGGTTTGCTCTCGCTTCTTCACTCCCGTCCGCAGAGTTAAAGGGAGAAGAAAGACGCGCAGTTCCGCGGAGCGCTCCCCACGCCCGTCCCGGGGCCGTGCTGCTGTCCCCTCCGCGCTGCGCCCTTTGTGTCCCCTCCGCCCCAAAAAACTTTCACCCCCCTCCCCCCCCCAGTTTCACGCCAAAGAGGGGAGGGAGGAGGGAGGGGGAACGCCGCTGACGTCACGGCGGTGCGCGTCGGGGGGCGAAGAAAGCCGAAAGTTGAAGGGAAGAAAGCGGCGGTGCGGGGCAGCGTGCGGGGCCCTGTCCGTGTCCGCCCCGCGCTGCCACCCGGCCCGGCCCGGCCCGTCGCAGCTCCGCCGCCATTTTCCTTCGGTCCGAGGCCGTGGCAGCCCCGCAACGGGACCCCCCCGCACCGGGAGGAGCCGCCCTCGAGGCCGGAACGCGGTGCCCTCGGGCGGGGCTGCGGGCGGTGAGGGGGAGCGCCGTGCCCGGAGCCCTCCGCACTAAATGCCCGCGTGTTCCTGTCATGATTTTTCTTTGGCTTTCTCTCGCA